ATATATATATACCAAGAGCCCGAGGCGGCTCCAAACGGTTCAGTTCAGTTTTTCGGCTTACGGACAGTGTACCGTTCCAGCTAATGCAGCTTCGTTCACCAAGGACAAGGTGAATAAGGGAATGGGAGCGATGGCCTCATCCGTGCACTGACATCAAATGATTCCGTTTGTCGGGTATGGCAAGAGCTATGCAGTGAAGGCGAGAGCTTTGATGCAAAAGTGCCGTTGGCTGCGTGACACTGCCATATTTGGCAGGATCACTAACCATTAATTTGTCTCGTTCCTCGGTCCCGATCCGGAGAGACGGCAGTTATCAGCGCGACTGAGTTGATTTGTAGGGACTCATGCTTCGTTGCCAAATAACTGACTGACCCTCTCTTGGTTATCTCCATCCGACACAAACTGCTGTATGTTATACGAAGTATATGGGCTTTACAACATAACCATGGACTGCGAACACCTGATCTATCGAAAACCATCTGACGTAAGATACCCACTGTGCCTGGTTGGAGACGCTGCAAGATATGGTTGCCAGTCGATGTCAATGGCGTTCTTGTTCTTAGTTTCTACCCAGGTTGTTTGAATGAGTGTCTGGAGGTGTAGGTACCTCGGAATGATTGGTAGGCTAGCACTAAACCCCTTCCCCGTTCATTTTTATGCCCTTTTTTCAAAATAAGGCTTGCAAATGGATCATGTTTGTAGGGCATTGAACATTGATGTTATGCTGTTAATGATGACGATGGTGTACTTCAGCATTACTGGTCTGATGTTCCGCACAATGCTTCGGAGGCACCGATGGTCAAATACAGAGGGCCTCCGAAGATCTTTCACGAGCAACGGTAACGTCTCTGATCCACAAACTAGGACAGATCGGACAGCCTCACTATACTTTCTACCCTGAACAGTCAAGTTTATGTCAAGTCAGTACCACAAGTGTCGGAGGTTCGCAAATGCTTTCATAACCTTTCCAATCCGAGAAGTGATTCGTTCTCTCGCCAGCCATGCAACTGCCCAGATATACCAACTTATATACCGAAACGGTCAATTCACCCGCAAACATGGAGTTGGGTTCGACCCATCCAACCTTTCTGCAGTAGTATACCGTACAGGCGCGAAGCGCATAATGAAACGGTGCGGCAGAATTATTTACTATTTAAAATACTTTGTATTTCTCAAGGGTCTGGCCCAAGGCAAGCAATATCATCGGCGTACTCAACGTCCGTGGGTGAATGACCCAGCGGTACTTAGATCCCAGATGTGTTACAGACAGGTAAGAAAAACACCAGCAGTACGTCGATTACGAAGTTAAAGAGAAAGGGTGACACAAGATACCCGTGACTGGCACCAGTGAACGTGACAACTCAGGATAGAATTCGTTGTAAACACGGACACATCCGCATAGAAATTCCCTATATAAAACAAGAATTCAGAAGGAACATCCTGACGATCAAAAGAGTCGAAGGATCGAGAAACACGAGCATGTTAGTGGAGTGGAGTACTTTAGGATGGGCTAATAACACGGTAACCAACACGAGCGCTTTACCTTTTGACTACTTCGGATTGCTGAGGAACGCAAGCACGTGTCACACATGAACGGCTTGGATGATATCCTTGTTACGCCGGGAGTAATAAGTTGTGGGCGGTGAGTTTACCCAATTAGCTGGAGCTGAATGCAAACCTTCACAGAGTCGCCACTCTCTAACCGATGCTTTTGCGTCGTTCATGGATTCTTCGTCCCCCCCCCTCTCTCTCTTTCTCAAGTGAAATACAGTGGAAGTCTCTTCGGCGGTGGCGCGCTGTATTAAACCACCCACCCTTGCTCTCCTTGACGAAGCTTAGCATAATCACCCGCTTTTGAAAAATTCGGGTGACGAGTCTCTGACTTGCAGCTGCTTCACACCTAAACCATAAGAATGAAAAATTGCTCAACCGTTGCATTTTTCTGCATAGCTGTATCGCTACCTGAAAGAAGTGCCTTGGATAGGATAGTGCCAGGCTGCTCCAGTGCAAATGAATGTGTAGGGTTCGTTACGCAGGTTCACGCAATAGCCACTGAACTGTCTCAAGCTCTTGCATCTTACTGAACGCCAGTCAACCGTTAGGATCCCTTTTATGGAGGACTGTTTCCGGAATAAGCCGAAATAATGTCCTAGAACATCCAGTTTTAGTTTCTTTGAGACAGGGCTTCATAAGCGATCTTAGTTCACTGAATCTGACCCGCTTTCTAAGTACAAAACCCGCACTGCGAAAGCGACAATCAAGTCTCTGAGATTGATGACTTTTGATTCAATGTTAGATAAATTTAAAAGGCCACATACAGTAGATGCTGTGTATCAGAGACGACGTTGAATAAGCGACAAAATGTGTTTTGAAGGATAGTCAAGCGGATTCCTCTTTGATTGCTACACTTGCTTAGGGCGCCGTCGTCTAGTCATCCCAGTGAGTTGGGACGGGCCTTTTCGTCCAGAGAGGCAAATAAACTGGACTGCAACCTATCAATAATTTCACATCCATCTTTAAACAGAACGGGTGGAAGTTCGTCAGGGCCGCAATCTCAGTGCTTCAGGAAGAAAAGGCGTTCGTTTATCTCCGAAGCAGTTGGGAGTTCCAAGTCCACTGTCTAGGGCTGCTCGGCACGTGGAGAATCCGGCTTAACCGCAAGCGACCAGTGGAACTGTTGCTGAAAATATTGGAATCCAGCTTTAACGCGTTCTTCTTTAGAGGTAGGTGAACCGGGGGCCTTTTTGTCTCTGTTACACTGAAACAATTTACGCACATTCCGAGTTTCTCGCCTCCTCCATCTCCTCAGCCTTTCGCACCCACCAAGCCTCTTGATCAGCGCAGATGCCCTTTTCGACTAGTCTAATGGTTCGTCGAGTGGTATTGTACCCTCTACCAGGAGGAATACGTGTACGAGCTTCCAGTAATTTTACAGTATTGTGCGAGATCCATTGCTCGGATCTAGTTGGTGGCGCCGTTTCACAATCCG